AAACAACCCAGAAATAAATAATAGATAAAAGAAAGCATCTTCAACAAATGGTGCTGGTCTAACTGGATGTCAGAAAAATGCAATTAGATTTGTATCTATGACCTTGCACAAAACTCAAATCCAAGTGGCCCGAAGACCTCAATATAAAATCAGATATGCTAATATAGAAGAGAAAGCAGGAGATAGTTTTGAAAAAATTGGCTCAGAAGATAAGTTACTGAACAGAACACCAGTAGCACAGGCATTAAGATCAATAGTTAATAAATGGGACCTCATGAAACTGAAAAGCTTTTCCATTTTGAAATTAAGATGGAGGATTCTCAGAAAATTGGGAATTGATCTACCTCAAGACCAGGTATACCCTTCCTGGGCATATACCCAAAGGATGCTCCATCATACCACAAGGACACTTTCTCAATTATGTTCATAGCAGCTTTATTCCCAATAGCCACAAGCTAGAAACAACTTAGATATCCCTCAATGAAATAATGGGTAAAGAAATTGTGGTACATTTATACAATGGAGTATTACTCAGCTGTTACAAAGACATCACAAAGTGTTTTGGCAAGTGGATGGAACTAGAAAAAATCATCCTGAGTGAGGTAACCCAGACCAAGAAAGACAAATATGTTATGTACTCACTTACAAGTGGATATTAGCTATAAAGTAAATGATAACCATACTATTGTCCACAGACCAAGAGAGGCTAAATAATAAGGCTCAAGGAAAGATGCAACGATCTCTTTGGGAAAGGAAATGGAAAAGATTTTACATGTGGACTGGGCAGGGCAGGTGGGGTTGGGAACAGAAGGGTTCAGGTAGGTAGGGTGAGAAAATACTGGGAGAAAAGACTGAAATTGAGGAGCATTTGGTGGAGGAGGTAAAAACATAGGGCAATGGAAACTCCATGGATTCTATGAGAGCAACCCTAGCAAAGACTCCTAGTAACAGGGGACATGACAAGGCCTCAATGTCAGAGATTGGGACGCCAATGCAAACACTGGAAAGCTCTTGACACATATTTCATCTCAGATTCCAGGTGGTTTTAATTCTATGTATTTCTGTTAAAGAAGATCAAGATGTTAGATCTCAAAGATGTTTATCTTAGAGGGGATAAAGGTAGCTTTAAAAGGACTTCCTAGAGATATACTTCTCACCTCTAAATTAGAAGACTAAACTCTCAGTATATACAAGGAAATTCAAATACTTATGACTAGGAGCAGAAAGACTGGTAGGTTAGAAAGTATTTGCGTGAAGAAAGATTAAATTCAGAAAATACTGTCTGACAATGAATATTATTTTGCATCCTCATCTTTGATATCTTTATACTTATTTTTAAGAAACCAAGCTCTTTCATGTAGTTTCTGAACTATATTTAAATCCATCCATGGAGTACTGAACAATGTTTTGATGAACTGCTAGCATGTTAATCCTCAAAGTTTATCCAGCATATCTTTATGTCTTGCTATGAGAGGAATTAAGAATGTTAATTCCAGTTAATGTTTCTGTTTCTTTCTAGGAAGAAATATTTTTTTTTGGTCAGGAGTTAATTCTCATACCCCAGACTCCTTCTAAGACTATTCTTACAAGTGTATATTAAACATTAATTGGCTCCAAAGGGGTAAGTATTCTCAAAGAAACCTACCTGCAAGATTAAATTTTCTTGAGTAAAGAGCTGAAGAGAGTGTTGGAAAGAAAATCTCCCCTTTTAACTCAACTCTGGAATATTATCTCTTCAATAAATACTTTGTAGTTGTTTGCTTGCTTGCTTGCTTGGTTTATTTGAGATAGAGTCTCATGGTGTAGTTCTGGCCAGCCTGGACCTCTCAGAGAACTATCTCTGCCTACCTAGTACTAGGATTGAAGGTGTGAGCCACACATACCCTTTAATAAATACTTATTAGACAACTACCATGGATTAAGGCCTTGGGTTCAGTGCTGAATAAGAAACTTTCACTTCTCAAAGATTTCATAATAGACATATTTCTTTTTTGATAATAAGTAATATAACCAGAAATGGAATTTAAGGCAAACTATAAAGGTTGAGCTGAGTGGCAGTGCAAGCCAGCAATTCTCATGCTTGAAGCCGACATTTGAGGCCAGCCTGAAAACCAGTGTGTACCTGAAAACAAAGAGGTCTTACTCATTCAAATCGGGAGTACCAGGCTTATGTCGTACAAGGACACTGAATATTGGTCAAAACTGGATGTTTGTGTTTCTTCTGGGGTGAGTGTGTGAGAGGTAGTTTTGGGGTTTTATCAAAGATAAAATACAAAGATAGATACAAGTGAAAATAATGAGGATATATTTTGACCAGTATTATTAGAGGGTGGTTCTAGGAAAATGTGAACTTTTGATTTTAAGATCAGAATGGCTTGATTTATAGCAAAAGTGAATGAGTAGAAAATATGTAAGGAGTAGCTTCAGAAAGATACAAATAGCTGCTTCTACAGAAAATAGTAAAACAAAAAAAGTAACAAGGGTCAGCCAGTTTAATGGAGTTAAGATTACTTTGCTTCTAATAGCATCCACTCAGTAACATTAAGATATTTATTCTCCAGTGTTCTGATCAATCAAGAAGAATCTTTTGGTCTTGAGTTGTGTCTCCTCCCCCCACACCCCCACACCCCACCCACCCTAACCCCCCACTGGGCACCTTTGTGTGGGGTCAAGGGTGCTTAAGGTCCCTTTATCCATGGGTTGTTAGAAATTGTTATGCATGTTTAGATATTTTTAAGTTTGAGATCTACTTGAAACCAGGGTTCAGAGGAGTTCACTTACTTAGTCATCAAGAGTCTCCATTAGGAGACAAAATAGTTTTATCACCTAATTATAGACCTTACTCCACTGTCTTTAAACTTTGTACTTATTGGAAATATAGCCAGTGTTTCCAATAATAAAAGCTTGTTTTATTCATCTATGCAATCCAAAAGTTCTACCTATTTCTCAAATTATGTATTTTCTACTTAAATTTAATTAGGTCAAAAGAAAAAAATTCTAGACACATTGGCTTGTTCACTTGTCATACATGTACAAAAATTATATAAAAGGGTATATTTAAAATAAATCTGTAGTGTCTCAAACTCTCTGACTTCTACAATCTTTTTCCCCCTCTTAAATGAGAGAACATGGCCCACTGAATCAACTAAGCAGGACTCACATGGGTTCGTAGAGACTTAAGCAGCAAGCATAGGGCCTGTATGTGTCTGCATCAGGTCCTATGCATATAAGTTATGACTGTTAGTTTGGTGCTTTTTGGGACACCTAGCTGTTGAGTGAGTGTGTCTCTGACTCTTTTTCTTGCTCTTAGGAGTCTTTTCCACCTGTTCAGTTGTATTGTTGAGCCTTGGTATAAACATTTTTTGCCTTGTCTTATTTTATTTTGTTTTTTCCTGTTTGGCTTTTGTGTCATGGAGGAATGTTCTTTTCTGAAGATGAAATGGAAAAGGAGTAGATCTATGGGAAAGGGAAGGTGTGGGGTAGCTTCAAGGAGTGAAGTGGGGGGACTGTGGTTTAGGATATATTGTATAAGAGAAGAATCTATTTCCAATAAAAAATTAAAAATAATCTATGATGTAGCAGGAATCTTAGTAGGTCTTATTAATAAAATCAAACCTGAGGTCAGTTATTGGGGTGAACGCTAGAAGATGAAACAACCAGAATAAGCCATGGCTACCTCACCTTGCCAGTTCCTCAACTGATCCTGTTTCCTCAGACTGGAAGTCTCTGAGTCCTCATCCAGAATGGCTCTCAGCTGAGCTGTTGCTAGAAGCCTAAAAACTTAACCAGCCAAATGCTTCTAGTTTCTGGTCTTCATGCCTTATATATCTTTCTATTTTTGCCATCATTCCCTGGGATTAGAGGCTCACTTTCTGGGATTAGAGGCCTGTGTCACCGTGCCTTGCTGTTTCCAATGTGGCCTTGAACTCACAGAGATCCAGAAGGATTTCTGTCTCTGGAATGCTAAGATTAAAGGTGTGATTGTCACTATTTTCTAGCCTTTGTATCTAGTGGCTGTTCTGTCTCTGACCCCAGATAAGTTTATTAGGGTGCACAATATTTTGGGGAACACAATACCACCACAAGTAGACATATGAAGTAGTTTTGAATATATTGTCATCTTAGATTATATTAAAGGTTATTTATAAGAAGATGAATGATATATAGAGGAAAATATAGAGTTCTAGTAGATTCCAAAGGTAATCAGAATAAAAAGAAAAAAACATCCTGGAAAGAAGAGGCCGTTAATCCAATTAAATATTAGATTTGCCACATTTTCCTTAGACTCATTGATAAAGCTTAGGCTAAAAATAATGCCAGACTAGGAAAGATGTTCAGCAAAGCATGACTGTCAACATGCAAAGAACTTTCTTTAAGCCATATTACAGAAACAATAGATTTCAGAACCTAAAACTGCTGGAATTAGAGATTTCAAATCCCAGTGAGGAAAGAGGGACAGTTTCTGTGACATTTGAAATTCCTCCACCAAAACCAACTGTTATTTTCAAGATGTACAAGTTCAACTATAAGTTAACTCATGATTCTGAAAAACTTAATGGATCATTCCGAATCTGTATTGCTGCTATGTATGAGGCAAACACAGAGTGAACAACATTACCAAACAAAGAAGCCTGAATTGTCACATCAGTGCAGACAAACTCGACTTCCCTAAAACTCTGAAGTACCACCTGATAGTAAGTCAGTCCAATCGTACTGGAATTGCATCTTCTCATTCCAGTGCTGAGTGGAAAAAGAGATCCAAATTTGATGGATGGGTATGATCTTCTATTTACGTCTGATATTTTTCAAATAAATATTCAACAATTTTGTAGTGCTCTTTTAAAAATTGCTTTCTTTTTCACTTAAATTTTAAGTTATCAAGAACACAGTGTTTCATTACCTTTTCATGTATAAATATGATTAGATTTAGACTGAAAAGAAGAGAAAAAAGTCTTTCCGCACTACTCTGGGATGGGTCCATATGGCATTGTTCTTGATTCCTATGGTAACTTAAAGGGAAACTTACACAATGTCCGGAGCCCTTGATGTCCTGCAGATGAAGGAGGAGGATGTCCTCAAATTCCTTTCTGTAGGAACCCACTTAGGTGGCACCATCCTGGACTTTCAGATGGAGCAGTATATCTACAAAAGGAAAAGTGATGGTATCTACATCATAAATCTGAAGAGGACCTGGGAGAAGCTGTTGCTTGCAGCCCATGCTATTGTTGCCATTGAGAAACCTGCTGATGTCAGCGTCATCTCACCAGCTCCTGAGTTCACTGCTGCTCAGCCAGAGGTGGCAGACTGGTCTGAGGGTGGACAGGTGCCCTCTGTACCCATCCAGCAGTTCCCTACTGAAGACTGGAGTGCCCAGCCAACCACTGAGGACTGGTCAGCAGCTCCCACAGTTCAGACTACCGAGTGGGTTGGCATCACCACTGAGTGGTCCTGAGCTCCTCTGCAGACACCTGAGCAAAAGGAAAAAAGGTGGAAGGAAAATAAAGTTTCTAGAAGCTGAAAAAGAAAAAAAGATAAGAAAAAATTGGTATTTTCTTGTCCCCTCCTGTCTTTCCATAGTACCTCTTGTATTTTAATGTCATAAATACACACTGAATTCTGAATCTAGATGAGACAGGACATGGTCAATATTTGTCTTCCTTAGTTTGCCAATTTATTTTCCTTAACATGCTACTATTCAGTTCCATCAGTTTTCCTTAAAATGAGGTAATTTCATTTTTCTGGCTCAATAAAATTCTATTGTATTTGTGTAGCATGTTTTAATATATACATTAATTTCTTAATGTACATTGAAGAGGGATGTCTTGACTATTAGTAATAAAGTGGAAATAAACATGTGTATGAAAATATTTCTATGGCATGCTCTTGTGGCTCCATTTGGGTTAAAAAAAAAAAACAGCTGAATAGCTGGGCTAAGGACTAGAACTATTGTAGCTTTTTCAGCAATTTTCATGCCGAATTCTACTGTGGCTGCATGCAGCTGTGTATGTGGGCCCCTCTTTCCCCACATCCTAACCAGGATTTAATATCCTTTTGTTTTCCTTCATGAGAGCCATTCTGACAGAGATATGATGGAATCTCAAAACAGCTTTACTTGCCAATTTCCCTGATGTGGTAATGACTTATTTTTCAGAAATTCAGTGTTTTATTCCTGACTTTATCACTAAGTTGATAATATTTTTTGAGTCTATTTAAAAATATATACTTAATTTGCCTTCCTACCCTTTACTCAGCCTATTTAAATGCAACCCGTCCTTCAAAGAACAATGTAACCATTATTGTACCCTTGGTTCTCCTCATAATCTGCTTTTACAAGTTAAAGTAATTGCATAACTTTAATCTTAAACTATATATTTTCCAAGCCTCTGACTCAAAATCGTGTGTTTGTACATACAATGTGTATGTGCTTGTGTGTGTGTGTGTGTGTGTGTGTGTTAATATTTCCCTGAAAGCAGTAAAAAAACTTTAAAATTAAATATCTTCTATGAATATTGGCTGCAACTTGTAGATACAGCTTGGTAACATCTGTCTGTAGTTATGAGTGCTATTCTGGGTCTTCAGGGGGCAATGAGGTAACCTTTTCACTTGTAGAACTCTTATAAATTTTTGTAGAACAAAACCCCCACTTCCTTCTCATTTCAGTTTTTATATATGTTGTTGAGGAATTAAAGGTTAAAGTCCTTTCATTGGGTCAGACAAGGAACAGAGAAACAAAAGAGAAAGGGTTGGAGGGAAGACACAGAGAGAAGAGGAAAGTCCAGCTTTCAATTTAAATTACCTCAAGGACACAGCCACACCCAAATACCTAAGGACATTGAACATCTTTAAACATTTGCTGGTAATTTGTATTTCTTCTTTTGAGAAACTCATACCCACTTTCTTTCATTCACTTACAGATGGGTGATTTCATTTTTTCCATGTTTAAATTTTGTAGTTGTTTGTATATTCTAGACTTTAATCCCCCTGTCTAATGTGAAGTTAGAAAAGATTAGCCATCAATCAGTGCATAGGACCTATTGAAATTAAACTGATTAGAATACATCTTAACTAAAAAGGAAACTGAGGCAGCCTACAGCATGGGAAAAGCTCTGCCACTTATACATCTGAGAGAAGACGTTTTTCTATTTTAGACACGAGACATAAAAACTACTAATAAAAAAGCAACTCAATTTAAAAATCTAGACTTTGGGATATAACAGTGTGAGCAAATGAAGAGATGTAAGAGGACACAAAATACTTTAAAATGAGTTCAACATCCATAACCATCATAGAAATAAAAAATAAAACTACTTTGAAATTTTGTTTTATTCCAGTCAAAATTGCTAATAACAAGAAAATAAATGACTACTAGATTTTCAAGTATTTTAGAGTATATGTTTTCAGAATATACCATACTTATCCTCTCTTAGTAGTACTGAAAATTGAGCCCTAGAAAACAGGCTGCTCATTAAGATCAACAATCTATGCAGGGGAAATTAAGTTATGATAAAAACTTCTCCTGTCTAGGAAAATAAATGGACAAGTACATGCTAAAGGCATAGGAAGTTTTCTGTGAGTTTGTCAAACTTGTGTATATTTTCACAGATCCACTTATTTGTTGCATTGTTTGTCTCTATAATTTTAAAATCAATTTTGCTAACTCCTGCTCTAATTTATTCATATCTACTGCTTTTAGATTAGCCTTTTCTGTCTATAGTACATTAGGATAAATGCACTAAAAATTATTGATTAACACTGTTTCAATATTTTTTAATCTAGGCCCATGTACATACAAACATTTTTCTTATAAATACCTTAGCTGGAGATAGGGAAATGGCGTAGTCATAAGAATGCCAGTTTTGTAACAATAAGAATAGGAATTTGGTTGAGGGACATATAGGTTGTTTCTAGGTTCTGGCAATTACAACTAATGCTACTCTGAACATTGTTGAGCAAGTGTCCTTGTAGAATGATTAAGCATTTTTGGATATATGCCCAAGAGTGGTGTTACTGGGTTTTGAGATAGATTGGTTCTCAATTGTCTAAGAAACCACCATAGTGATTTCCAAAGTGGCTGTACAAGTTTGCACTCCCACCAACAGTGGAGGAGTGTTCCCCTTGCTCCATATTTTCTCCAGCATAAGTTGTCATTAGTGTTTTTAATTTTAGCCATTCTGATAGGTGTAAGATGAAATCTCACATTCATTTTGATTTGCATTTCCATAATGGCTAAGGATGTTGAACAATTCTTTGCCTTTTGTCCATTTGAGATTCTTCTGTTGAGAATTCTGTTTAGATCTATACCCTACTTTTAAATTGGATTATTTGTGTGTGTGTGTGTGTGTGTGTGTGTGTGTGTGTGTGTGTGTGTGTGTGTTTTGATGTCTAGTTTCTCAAGTTCTTTATATATTTTGATATTTTGGAGATCAGCCCTCTGTCAGATGTGGGGGTTTTTGAAGATCTTTTCCTATTTTGTAGGTATAGCATGAATCTTAAATGACCTTATTAATAAAATCAAACCTGAGGCCAGTTATTGGGGTGAATGCTAGAAGATAAGCAGAACAAGCCACAGCAACCTCACCTTGCCAATTCCTCAGCTGATTCTGTTTCCTCAGACTGCAAGCTTCTGAGTCCTCATCCAAATGGCTCTCAGCAGAACTGTTGCTCAAAAGCCTAAAAGCTTAACCAGCTAAAAGCTTCTAGTTTCTGGTCCCCATACCTTATATACCTTTCTGCTTTCTGCCATCATTCCCTGGGATTAAAGGCTCACTTTCTGGGATTAAAAGCTTGAGTCACCATGCTTGGCTGTATCCTTGAACACACAGAGATCCAGGTAGATCTCTGCTTCTGGAATGCTAGGATTAAAGGTGTGTGCTACTACTGCCTATCCTCTATGTTTAATATTGTGGCTCTTCTGTTCTCTGACCCCAGATAAGATTATTAGCATGCACAATATTTCGGGAGACACAATACCACCACATGTAGGCTGTCATTTTGTCTTATTGACAGTGTCCTTTGTCTTACAGAAGTTTTTCAGTTTCATGAGGTCCCATTTATTAATTGTCAATTTAAGTGTGTGCACTGATGTTCTATTCAGGAAATTCCTCCTGTGCCAATGTGTTCAAGTCTACTTCCTACTTTCTCTTCTATCAGATTAAGTGTAACTGAATTTATGTTGAGGTCTTTGATCCACTTGGATTTGAGGCAATATGGCAATAGATATGGATAGATATGGCATTAAATGTGTTGATACATTTACACAATGGAGTACTATTAAAAGTACAATTGTATTAAAAAAATCACATCAGAAAATTTGAAGAAAAATTGATGGAACTAGAAAAAAAATTCCTCAGTGAGGTAACCCAGATCCAGAAAGACAAATGTGGTGTGTACTCACTCACAAGTCGATATTAGCTGTAAAGGATAACCACGCCATAATTCACAGGCCCAGAGAAGCTAGGTAACAAGGAGGGCCCAGAGAGGGACACATGAATTTTTCTGAGAAAGGGAAATAGATATCTTGGGTAAACTGGGGGGTGGGTGGGTATGGGAATATGGGGGTTGGGTTGGTGGAGATAAAGGGGGAGAATAATCAAAGAAATGTCTTGATGGGGGGCATTTCAGGGTCAGGTAGAAACCTGGTACAGGGCATACTCCCACAAATCTATAAGAATGACCCCAGCTAAGACTCCTAGCAACAGTGGAGAACTGGCTGTCTCCTGTGATAAGATTGGTGACTAGCTTAATTTTCATCAGAGAGCCTTTGTCTAGGAATTGATTTAAGCAGATGCAGAGATCCATATCCAAGCATCAGTCCAAGCTCCAGGAATCCTGTTGAAGAGAAGGAAGGATTGTATGAGCTGGGGAGATCAAGATCATCTAAAAGAACCCAACTAACCTAAGCTCATAGGAGCTCACAGACACTGTACCAGTAGCTAAGGAGCCCCCATAGGACTGAGCTAGGCCCTCTACAAATGTGTGACAGTTGTATAGCTTGGTCTACCTATGGGACTCCCAGCAGTGGGAGTGGGGCCTGTCCCTGATGCTTTGACAGACTTTTGGAAGACTATTCTTTATAAAGGGTTGTCTTACCAAGCCTTAATACAAGAGGAGGAGCTTATTCCTACCTCAACTTGATATGCTAAGCTTTGGTGACACCCATGGGAGGCCTGTCCCTTTCTGAACAGAAACAGGGTAAATGGATTTGGAAGTGGCTGAATTGAGGTGGGAGGACAAAATGGGAGATGAGGGAGGAGGGAAACTGCTGTCAAGATGTAAAATTAATGAATACATTTAATTAATAATACTAATAAATAAATGTGAGTTTGAATTCCCACAAACAATGTCAAAAGCTAGGTATAGCAGTTAGCCATGTAATCTTTGTGCTTTTATTCCTAAAGTTCATTGCACAGTTCAGGAGATCAGACCAGTGAGAGACACTATCTCAAAAAATAA